GGCAAAAACATGAGGGGAGATTTTGAATGGACGCTGCCTTCAAACATTTCCTTAATGATGTTACCTTCTTTCCTTCGATCCAATTTTAGCCCCACTCATAGAGCGTTTGGTAATTAGAGAGCAATTTTTACCAGACGTTTAAGGCATGATATAAGAAGTCGGTAATAATTGCATTATGAGGTGTAATCTTTCAGATCTTTTAAGGTAAGCGACAACTAATTTCCACACTTATTGATATAGTGAAAAAATACCGTTTAATTCGAATGGCATAGCACTCGTTTTCTTCTTTGATTTGCTTGCGTGAGTGTTCACGAGTTGGAAATGTGAAACGGTGTATTGGAAGCATCTCTTTATTTCCTGACATACGGTATGAGATTTGTGACACAAGCGAATGCAATCAATGGAACATCAATGCACTGGCATTTGTCCTGCTGCCACGAAGGCTTATGCGAGTCTTACACATAAGTTGATGTTGTGTTACAGCTGCTGCTTGAAGCGAGAATGCTCTTCCTTGATGGCAGGAAAGGAAGTTTGCACAAGCAAGGGTATCGACGCAAAATTCTAAAAAGACTTGCCGCAAACAACAGCCATTGCTGGTTCCGGTAGAACTTCTACTCACTTCCGTACTAGTGCAGGGAGTGCATATCCATCGTCTTCTATTGAGATTTTATCTTCATATTCCTGAGAAGCAAAACCTCTTTGCTCTCTTGTTGCACCTTGAAAAATATATTCAGTGGAATCTTCCAGGATTTGCCAACTTGTTTTTCACCAACCTCCCACTGTGTTGTCCAGTACAAAAGCGATTACTCCTGCTATAAGCATTGGAATAGTCAAAAGCATATTAAGACAATCATCCACAGTTTTTGCACCTGAAACAACAATATAAAACTGTCTGCAATCACTATCTTCCGGCTACCTGTGTTAATTCTGTTATGCTCAAAGTGGAATGGAATTATTCCTCCCATCAAAATGGCGGTGCCCATGATCGAGAGATTGCGCGTTAGCCGCAGATCAACGTTCTTAATTGCTAGACT